AAAAAAAAAAAAAAAACCGTGATTTTTTTAAATGGCTGTACAGTACTCTATGGGGAGGGTGTGTTTGTATAAACTTTAAGATCTTTCCAAATGGACCTCAATATACAAAGTTGAATTAAGAAAATATTTGAATATTCCAAATAGAGGAATGGGAGAGTAGAACAACAACCCAACAAAGTGAGACAAAGAAAAAAAAAAAAAAAAAAAGCTCTGTATTTCTGCTTATAATTAGGACAATGGCATTTTAGACAGGAGTCTCCAGTTCTCCTCATTTACTGGCAAATTAATTAACTCCTCTTTCCTTCTCCTCATACCACTCCTCATTTTCAGATGCAGCCTCAGGGACAAGTGCTTTTGGTAACAAAGATAGCTAAATGATGCCAAGCGTTTGGTAATGAAGACGGCTAAATTATGCCATGGTAACAAACAACCCCAAATCTCAGTGGTTTAAGACAATGAGAGTTTATCTCTCCGTCAAATTACGCATCTCATCCAGGTTTAAGGAAGTGTGGACCCTGCTGACTCCATACACTCTATAGAGACCAGGCTGACTCGGTCACCAGAGCAGGGGAAGAGAAAAGTGGAAAATCTCTTTTGGATTTTTCACTGTCTCACTGCAGAAGTGACACACCCTTTTCCACTCATCTTTCATTGGTTAGTGTTGTGGCCTCACCTAACTGCAAGGGGACCAGGCAATGCAGGGGAGAAAATTGAATGCTTGGAGAGACTTGCTATATCTCTGCCACAGCTAGAAAGCTGGTTTTAACACTTTATCACCATCCCAAACCAACCTTCCCTTGCAAACAGGTCTTGCTGTGAGGGTGAGGATAGTGAGCTGCCTGCCCCCCATTCATAGACAACAATGGTTTCCAGGGGCGTCTCCTGGGGGTGATGACCAGGTCTGGCTATCTTGTAGGAGCCATTCAGTGGCCTCCACCTACTCTGTACAGACAGAGCCTAGCCCTTCTGATACTAAGGTTGTTTTCTTTTGAGTTTCAGAAACATTCCTGCTCGCCGAGGAACTTCAAATTACATTTGTGTGTGTGTGTGTGGACACATCAGATGGACAAAATGATTCCAGTGAACTGACTGCTCCAATTATGGTGAGAATTTTCACATGGTTAGAAATTTCTGGTTACTTTCAATTTTCCTTCCTACCTTAGTAGCCCTGGAGGGATTGTGGCGTATACAGTAAAGGGCTTGTACTCAAATATCTTTACGTAACTCAGAGGTACAAGTTCCTACAAAAATTCTGCCACCTTAACCAAACACGAGCTTGGAAGGAGATGTTAAGGTAAGCTTTGAGGAATTAGGCAGCATAGTGGCTGAGAGATGGGGAGAATCAGAAAAACCCGTGAGCAAACTTTAGTTTGAAGATTTAGGATTTGGAAGAATACTATCTGGGCCCATTGCCCTCTTTGGTTTCCTTTCTTTGATAACACCTGTTCTGCTTGGACCCCCTACTCCAGGAGGGTTTGTCCCCTCTATAGCGGGGCCCTGTTTGTTTTTTCCCCTCACCTTTTCTGCGATGCATCCCTGACTTACGTGGCTAAATAAAGGCAGATTTAGTTAGCTTCCTGTCACAAACAACTAGAAAATGACAATACATCTGGAAACCCAGCCAGAAGGTACAGAATGTTGAGGGTGAATAGACTCAAGCTCCTTGGCCTTTCTCATTTTTAGATGGCAAAAAAATTGGAGTGAGTGTTGTCACTATGTCGGGGGCAGGGGGGAAGCTCAGGAAACAATAAAGCAGTGATACCTTGAGGTAGGAATGGAAGGAAAAGGGGCGAGGACAGGAATCCACGTGCATCTCTGAGTGGGAGGTACTAAAGACCCATGCGCTACTCACGTCTCTCTACAGAGCTACAGCCACCCCTGGCACCATGTACCATTGCTTCTGGAGATGTGTCCTAGTGATTGTGTCCTTACTCTTCTGCAGCTTCTTCCTCCACGACAAAATCCAAAACGTGGAATATAAACTTCTTTTGGTAAGTACCAGACCCTGATAGTGGAGCCAATTTTCAATTATTAAGTAGGAAAATGAATAAAAGTCAGTGTTTAGGTCTCATCTATGTGGATCACTCTAGAATCGCTGCACGCGTTCTCAGAGGAGTGAAGCCTGAGAGTGAATTTTGTGAAACGAATATAAAAGGAAGCCATATAATTTTGTTATTTATTTTCCTTAAGAAAAGACAATTTACTTTCTGTAAATTGCCCAGCCAGAAGAGAGAAAAAAAAAAGAGTAATTTGTTATAACGGTCACTGGTGACAATAGAGAAGTACAGATGAAGACGGGAAGTTTCCAGGGGAAAACACAGGAGTATTAGACATAGGAGATGATTCAATTAGAAGCCTAATTTGGGGTAACTAAGACACCCACCTAGTAGAGGAATGGGAGTGGCAGAGACTCCACCCTTTCCTATAATTCTACTTTAAATGTATTCGCGGTCAGATCTGAGCAAAGGAAGGACTTTAGAATTGAGGCGCCGTGTGCGTGTTCCTTAAGGACAGGGCCGGGCGTTTGACTTCAGCGCATCTCAGAGAACCCAGCACAGGCCTAAGCTGAGTTAGAAGACATTAGCCAGACTGATAATGGTAGGAGAGATTAGGTGTGGGCCACGGTGGGGACAGGCAAACTCTGACTCTCCATAAGCCTAGGGCCTTCCCACAGACATCTCACCCACACCCGGGTCACCCCACCTCCCCGACTCGGGACTCATGGCTTCTGCCAGAAGCCGGTGTGTTCTCATGACCAGGTGGGGACAGCACTGAACTGAGCCCCGACACTCGGCCTCCCTGATGACTGGGTGCTGGGGCTGGCCGGGCCCATCCTAAAAGGGAGATCTCCTCCTTAGTTGTCTCCAGAGAATCTGGGGCAAACCTCAGGGCTCACATGTATCTTATCCTCAGAAAGAAAAGGACAAAGCTTGGCAAATACTTGTACAGCAAATCAGCTCTGAAAGCAAGAACCATCTGGAAACCTTCAAGGAGATGCAGCAGAGGTCTCCTTTACTCCAACACGCCAAGTACAGGTTCCTGGCGGGAGCCCCTCCCCAGCAAAAGAGTGAGTGCAAGGGAGGGACCGGTCGGGCTAGGAGAAGGCCAACAAGGGAGTTTAACAAGAAAAGGGAAGGGAAGGGAAGGGGAAATGACTGGCATCTGATGAGGAAAGAAGGGTGCACTGAGAAAGGACCATGCCATGAGATTTGGTGCATGTTATCATCCTGAGTGCGTTTCCGCCACCTGGTCACCCCTCGAATGACCAACAGGATGAGAAGCCCTGGTGTCCCCTAGTGAAGCTCATTCATGGCAGACCCTCAGGGAGGGCAGGGCAGGATGGGAGAGGAGGCGTGGGAAACGGAGGCGCGCTCTTCCGTGGGGAAAAGCACTGGGCAGAGGGAAAAGAGCGTGGTGTGGACTGGGGGTCTCAGTGCACTAGACGGCCAGTCCCTTGGCTGTGCGTAGGTCCCTGGAGGTCCCTGGAGATCCTTTCATCCAGGTCTGTTTGATCTGGGGTAGCTGAGATAACTCTGAAGGTCAAGGCCAGGCTAAGATAATTTGCCAAGCCAGCCAATTTCCCTTTGGTACCCTGTGGCCGTCCCCATGAGAGAGCCTCGTCCCTCATAAAGCTTCCCCCAACAGCCTTTCAATGTATCGATCCAGGAATCCACTTCACAACTTCACAGATTGATATTAACCCTTCAGTGGGACTGTACACTCCCAGGGAAATACATGTGACTTGTCACAGGTACTGGCATAAGGGAAGACCTGGGAGGAGAGCCCTAGGAACTGGTCACCGTCCTCAAGTGCTAAAGGTTCCCCTCTCTTCCCCCAGAACTGCTGACGGTGGGCATTTCCTCGATGCAGCCACCTGGTGGCAGCCACCTCTTGGACACCCTGCGCTCCGTGTTTGAAGCGACCTCGGAACCTGAGTGTAGGTCTATAGTGGTGCTGGTCCACCTGTCAGATCCTGACCCCGAGTGGCTCAACCAAACAGCCGCCAATATTTCCAGGCTCTTTGCACCACACATTGAGGCCAGGGAGCTGCTGGTGATCCATGGGCTTCTCGGTGGCTCTCCTGTCCCAGGAAATCTGAGTGACGCCAATCACACCTCACCCTGCGAAGCACTTTATTCCAGGCAGAAAGTAGACTATGCCCTCCTCATGAACTTTGCCAGCAGCCTCTCTGATTACTTTCTGTTGATGGAAGATCACGTCCACTGCAGCCCCAAATTTGTTTCTGCCATCTACTGGGCGTTATCGGCCTGGGAAGAGCTCCCTTGGGTGATCCTGGAGTTCTCCAGCCTGAACATGTCAGGGAAAGTTTTCCGCTCTAGTGACCTCTCCCGCCTGACCTCTTTCTTCTTCCTCTTCCTTAAGGGCACTCCTGCTCACTTGCTTCTATCAAATTTTAGTTTCCTCTTGGGCCAGACAGTTCCCATTAGCCTTGCTCCAAATCTCTTTCACTCTCTGGGCTATAATTTCACTTCCAGGAACACATGTTACCAAGAGGAAAGGGAAGAGGAAGAGAATCTCGGGAAACCCCACAACCCTCCTGCCTCTTTTTACACGAACATGATGTCAACAGGCTCTACTGTCCCAGAATATGCTTATCTAATGAATGGGAGTTACTTCCAGACTCAGTATCTCATTCCAGGCCACAAATACACTGTGGTTTTTCGTCAGCCTCACATGGTAACCCACATAAAATTTCTGACTGGCATCGGTAAGCTGGGGCTATTTTACCTGCAGCAAGGGCAGGTGGAACTCGGCTATGAGCCTATTTTGGAGGATAATGCCTGTGCCCGCTATGCCCTGCTGGGACCACTGGTAAAGGGGAAGTTCTATCAGAAGGTACATTATGAAGAAGACTTTGTGGAGGCGGTGAGATGCGTAAGACTGCTGGTGACAGCCCCTCATGATTCTGCAGTATGGATTAGAAATATCAGCATCTGGATTAAGTCTGGGAAAGGGTAGAGATAAAAGGGCCAACATGAATTCTGGAACAAATGGGTTTGGGAACAGCCTCAACACAGATGATAAGGAATTAAAGCTTTGAATTTGGTGAGGAGCATCCCATATGCAGTCATTGCAGGCTACTTAATATAGATGACACATCCTCATAAGAGGTAGAAAAGGAACTGGATCCATCTGACCCCCAAGAGCCAGAGAGATGAAAGTATTCACCAAGAAATTGCCCAGTTTTCTCTCCATACAGATCTCCCATCCTTGGATCTTTCCCTGAGGTAGGTACTGCCTTACAGAGTGTTGGGAATGGCCTGAAATATGACATCAGGATAGAATGGCATTTGCCTTCATGTAAGATCCAAAATGCCAAATATTGAGAGTCCAAACATGGGCTGTCAACTGTCCATGAATTCTTCAGAAGTAGATGCATATCTTTGCGTATTTTCAAATCTGCATTTTTCTAGGGTCAAGATTCATAACTTTCATTTGTGTTTCATATGCCCCCCACCAAAATCATAAAAATAACTAAACTAGTAGATCTACTTTCTTTTTTTTTTCTTTTTTTAGACAGGGTCTCGCTTTGTTGCCTAGGCTAGAGTGAGTGCCATGGCGTCAGCCTAGCTCACAGCAACCTCAAACTCCTGGGCTCAAGTGATCCTCCTGCCTCAGCTTCCCGAGTAGCTGGGACTACAGGCATGCGCCACCATGCCCGGCTAATTTTTTCTATATATATTAGTTGGCCAATTAATTTGTTTCTATTTATAGTAGAGACGGGGTCTCGCTCTTGCTCAGGGTGGTTTCGAACTCCTGACCTTGAGCAATCCACCCGCCTCGGCCTCCCAGAGTGCTAGGATTACAGGCGTGAGCCACCGCGCCTGGCCAGATCTACTTTCTTGATGGCAGTAAACAATTTATTACCTAAGGGCATGAAATCTGTTTAGCATTTTTAGTTTAAAAATTGAGAGCATACATTAATTCATCCTTCATGTAATCATTCAGAGGTATTAATTTTGTGAGTTCTTTTTGTTGGGCCCTATTCAAGGTAGTAAAAATTCTAAAATAAATAAAACATAGTTGGTGCTAGCAAAAGACTAATAGCAACAACGAATGCTTACCATTCAAAATTTACCATTCAAACTGATAAGTGACTTGTCTATAGATTCTTTTGAATTTTCTTTTCTTTTCTTTTCTTTTTTTTTTGAGACAGAATCTCACTGTTTCTCAGGCTAACATGCTATGGCATCAGCGTAGCTCACAGCAACCTCCAACTTCTGGGCTCAAACAATCCTTCTGCCTCAGCCTTCCGGGTAGCTGGGACTACAGGCATGCGCCACCATGCCTGACTAATTTTTTCTATATATGTTAGTTGTCCAGCTAATTTCTTTCTATTTTTAGTAGAGACGGGGCCTCGCTTTTGCTCAGGCTGGTTTCGAACTCCTGAGCTCAAAGGATCCTCCCACCTCTGCCTCCCAGAGTGCTGGGATTACAGGCGTGAGCCACCAGACCCAGCCTGAATTTTCTTTGTATACAATCATGTATATGTAATAAATATATATAAATTCAATGCAATCCCAATGAAATTCCAAACCAGTTATTTGTAATTTCATTTATATCTGACATTTTTATTTTAATATCCACTCATAAAAATAAACATATGAGAATATTCAAGAGATTTCTGAAAGAGAATATTGAGATTTACCAGATATAAATACATCACTAACATTACAAAATACCTACCTAATAGCCATTCTCCTATTCACTTAGTAATATTAGGCCATGTGGAATTGAAATTTTGTGTGTACTGTTAGGAATAATGATTTTTTTTCAGATGGATATCGAATTTGCCAGCTATGTTGTTGAAAAGATTGTCCTTTCCCCAGTATACTATAACGTCATCTTTGTCATAAATTAAGGGACCACATGCACATGAGTCCATTTCTGGACTTTCTACTTTATTCCATAGGTCTACTTTATCTTTATGCCAATATCACACTGTTTGAATTAATACGACTTTATAATAGGTCTTCATATATGATAGCGTAAATTGTCCAACTTTGATCTTCAAGATTACCTAGGCTATTCTTAGCACTGTTTGCATTTCCCTATAAATTTTAGAATCAGATTATCAATTTCCGCAAAAAAAAAATTCCTGGAATTTTGATTGGTATTGCAGGAATCTATAGATCAATTTATAGAGAATTTAAATCTTTACAGAATTTTGCCTTCCAATCCATGAATATACTGTAGCATTTAATACACTCTTCTATGTCTTTATATCTTTTCATTGCTTTGAATAATAGCTTACAGTTTTCAGTTTAGAAGACTTACACACCTTTTGTCAGATTTATTGCTGGGACTGATATTTTTGTTGTATTATAAATGGCATCATGTGGAAATTTTATTTTCTAATTATTTGTGCTTAGTATATGGAAAATACAATTGATATTTGTATACATTGACCTTGTACCCAGTGGCCTTGCTAAATGCACACATTAATTCTAATAGTTTATCCATAGAGTCTTTGGCGTTTTCTGTGTATACAATCATGACATCTGAAAATAATGACAATTTTATTTTTTTCCAAATCATACACCTTTTCTAATTTTTTTCTTGACTTCTTGAACTGGCTAGGACCCACAGTTAAATGCTGAATAGGAACTGTGATGGTGGCCAGCCTTGTTCATTCCTATTCTCAGGAGTTGGGGGAGCTTTCAATAATTCACCATTAAAGATTTGGGTGGAAGAAGGGTAGATGCTCTAACCAGATTAAGGAAATCTTCCCTTTATTCCTAGTCTGCTAAGAGTTTTTACCATGAATGAATGTTGAATTTTATCCAATGGGTTTTTTTTAATCTGTCAAGATGATAATTCCTGGAAAATTTATCATTTAGTATTATGCTTTTTAAACATTGCTGGACTGGATTTGCTAATATTCATGCAGGATTTTTGCATCTATGTTTCTGTGAGAGATTGAGCTGTAATTTTTCTTTCTTATAATGTCGTAGTCAGGTTTTGGGTGATTTTTGGTTGGTTTTTTTTTTTTGGTTTTTTTTTTTTGAGACAGAGTCTCACTCTGTTGCCCATGCTAGAGTGATAGAGTGAGTGCTCACAGCAACCTCAGACTCCTGGGCTCAAGCGATCCTCCTGCCTCAGCCTCCCGAGTAGCTGGGACTACAGGCATGCGCCACCATGCCTGGCTAATTTTTTCTATATATAGAAGTTGGCCAATTAATTTCTTTCTATTTATAGTAGAGACTGGGACTCACTCTTGCTCAGCCTGGTTTTGAACTCCTGACCTGGAGCAATCTGCCCGCCTCGGCCTCCCAGAGAGCTGGGATTACAGGCGTGAGCTACGAAGCTACGGCCTGTTTTGTTCTGTTTTCAGGTTGGTCAAGTGGAGCAGTGGGAGTGGAGAAGGAACAAAGGAATCTGTAACTGGTTGTGATCAATTAGTTGTAAACACCACTCGGACCAACTCTAATCAGGTTTTGGTATAAAGGTTATACTGACTTCATAAAAATCAGTTGGGAAGTATTCCCTCCTCTATTTTGGAAAGAATATGTTTAAAATTAGTATACTTTTTTCTTAAGCACTTTAAAGAATTCACCCATGAAGCTATCTGAGCCTATGCTTTCTCGTGCGGGAAACTAGTTCATCGTGAATTCAGATTCTTTAATAGATATAAAACTATAATAGATATAAAATTTCTTCACATGTTCATCTTTAAGTTGTTTTTTAAGGATTTTGTCCATTTTATTTAAAACATTGCCAAGTGTATGGCTTATTCTCTTGCTATGGTGATTTGTTTATGCTCTTTTTTTCTTGATCAGACTTGCCTAGAGGTTTATCAATTTTGTTACTCTTTTAAAAGTAACAACTTCTGGCTTTGTCTATTTTCTCTATTGCACCTTTTTTGCTGTTTCACCGTTTTTGATCTCACCTTCACCATAGCCTACGTAAAGACACGACATGTGTGTGAGGAAATAGAGCGTCGTGGGAGCAGAGGTGCCAGCCATGGTGAAGTGGAAGGCAAGGCAAGGGGCCGAGTGCAGTGAGACAAGCAGAGGGCTGATGGTGGAAGCTCAGGGAAAACCAGCATTGAAGGGGTGAGCAGAGGAGGAGAGGACCACAAAGGAAATAGACCAGGCTGGCGCGGTGGCTCATGCCTGCAATCCTAGCACTCTGGGAGGCCAACGCGGGCGTATTGCTCGAGGTCAGGAGTTCGAAACCAGCCTGAGCAAGAGCGAGACGCCATCTCTACTATAAATAGAAAGAAACTAATTGGCCAACTAATATATACAGAAAAAAATCAGCTGGGCATGGGGGCGCATGCCTGTAGTCCCAGCTACTCGGGAGGCTGGCGAGTCCTGGAAACCCAACCAGTTAGTTTACCATTTTATGAATTTAAAAACTGTACTCTACGGCCGGCGCGGTGGCTCACCCTGTAATCCTAGCACTCTGGAGGCCGAGGCCCGGTGATTGCTAGGTCAGAGGAGTTCAAAACCAGCCTGAGCCTGAGCGAGACCGCCGTATTCCTTACCTATGGAGAATAGAA